CGGATATAGTGAATGCAGGGTCCCGGGGAGAGCGGATATAGTTCATGCAAGGTCTGGGGAAACTGGATATAGTGAATTCAGGGTCCGGGGAAACTATATATTGTGAATGTAGGGTCCAGGGAGACAGGATATAGTGAATGCAGGGTCTGGGGAGAGCGGATATAATTAATGCAGGGTCCGGGAGACTGGATATAGTGAATGCAGTGTCCAAGGAGAGTGTATATAGCGAATGCTGGGTCCTGGGAGAGTGGATATTGTGAATACGGGGTCCGGGGAGAGCGGATATAGTGAATGCAGGGTCGGGGAGAGCGGATATAGTTCATGCAAGGTCTGGGGAAACTGGATATAGTGAATGCAGGGTCCGGGGAGAGCGGATATATAGTTCATGCAAGGTCTGGGGAGACAGGATATAGTGAATGCAGGGTCCTGGAAGACTACATATAGTGAATGTAGGTTCTTGGGAGACCGGATATAGTGAATGCAGGGTCCAGGGAGAGCGGATATAGTGAATGCAGGGTCCAGGGAGAGCGGATATAGTGAATGCAGGGTCTGGGGGAGAGCGGATATAGTGAATGCAGGGTCCTGGGAGAACGGATATAGTGAATGCAGGGTCTGGGGAGATCGGATATAGTGAATGCAGGGGCCAGGGAGGAGTGTGTGGATGACGTCACAATATTACCATTCATCGGGACAGTGGTTATAGTACTCTGTAAGCGGCTCTTGGAATGACATTCCAGCAGGCAATAGCATTCATTAAGTGGCCCCGTGCTTTGCCTGGCATTACATTACGGATGGGGTCTGGTTTGAGCATGTGCAGGACTCTGCTGCTGAGATGATACTGCCATCTAGTGTCTAATCAGTACATCACTGGATGTTCATCATACCTGGTGCAATATACACCTCCGGAACGTGAGTGCATTTCTTATGTTTAATTGATGAATAAAAGTGTAAAAGGATAAAGCACTATGTGGAGTTCTTTGTAATGAGGAATACGGCTGATACAAAGACGCTTATCAGGAGGGAGATTACTTGGAGTCTTCATTCAACAAGCTGATCTTCTGAGTCCAAATTGGACCAAAAGTGCAGTTAGAGGTAACATTGTATAATGTGCGGTCACACTGCGTGAGGTGAGCAGATATATGGTGGAGGATGTCTTTGCACGGGAATTGATGACAGATGCGCATATTTTTTGTTATCCAAAGAAGGGTTCACAGAAGAACTCTATTGATTGAACTTGAGTTTTTGAATGACTTTTGCTTGATTCGTACTTAAAAAATACTTTTTGATTTTTTTTTGTGTGGTCCTTGTTTTCATATATATATATAGATTTATATACTTAATTCTTTTTTCAATAATTTTAATTTTTTATTATTTATTTTTTCACTTTGCTTTTTGATACACAGGAATTGTGCAATTTTTTCATATAGTGCATTCTTTTAATAATATGATAGTGAATGCAGGGTCTGGGGGGACCAGATATAGTGAATGCAGGGTCCTGGGAGAGCTGATAAAGTGAATGCAGGGTCTGGGGAGAGCGGATATAGTGAATGCGGGGTCCGGGGAGAGCGGATATAGCGAATGCGGGGTCCGGGGGAGAGCGGATATAGAGAATGCAGGGTCTGGGGAGACCAGATATAGTGAATGCAGAGGCCAGGGAGAGCGGATATAGTGAATGCGGGGTCCTGGAAGACCAGTATATAGTGAATGCAGGGTCCGGGGAGACTGGATATAGTAAATTCAGGGTCCGGGGAGACCGGATATAATGAATGCAGGGATTGGGGGGAGACCAGATACAGTGAATGCAGGGTCCGGGGAGACCAGATATAGTGAATGCAGAGTCCAGGGAGTGCATATATAGTGAATGCAGGGTCTGGGGGGAGAACGGATATAGTGAATGCAGGGTCGGGGGGGGGGAGAGCGGATATAGTGAATGCAGAGTCCAGGGAGAACGGATATAGTGAATGCAGGGTCTGGGGAGACCAATTACATTGAACGCAGGGTCCTGAAAGACCAGTTATAGTGAATGCAGGGTCCAGGGAGAGCAGATATAGTGAATGCAGGGTCCAGGGAGAAGAGATATAGTGAATGCAGGGTCTGGGGAGAGCAGATATATAGTGAATGCAGGTTCCGGGGAGAGCGGATATAGTGAATGCAGGGTCCGGAGAGAGCGGATATAGTGAATGCAGGGTCCAGGGGAGACCAGATATAGTGAATGCAGGGTCTGGGGAGAGCGGATATAGTGAATGCAGGGTCCGGGGAGAGCAGATATAGTGTATGCAGGGTCTGGGGAGAGCGGATATTGTGAATGCGGGGTACGAGGAGACTGGATATAGTGAATGTGGGGTCTGGAGAGACTGGATATAGTGAATGCTGAGTCCGGGGAGTTTGAATATAGTGAATTCAAGGTCCGGGGAGACCAGATATAGTGAATGGTTAGCATTTCCACCTGGCAGTACTAGGGTCACTGGTTCAAATCTCAACCTCAACTGGGTACGGGAAGAGCGAATATAGTGAATGCGGGGTCGGTGAGAACGGATATAGTGAATGCAGGGTCCGGGGAGAGCGGATATAGTAAATTCAGGGTCCAGGGAGACCAGATATAGTGAATGCAGGGTCCTGGGAGATCAGATATAGTGAATGCATGGTCCTGGGAGACCAAATATAGTGAATGCCGGTTCTGGGGAGAGCAGATATAGTGAATGCAGGTTCTGGGGAGAGCAGATATAGTGAATGCAGGTTCTGGGGGAGAGCGGATATAGTGAACGCAGGATCCAGGGAGAGCAGATATATTGAATGCAGGGTCCGGGGAGAGTGGATATAGTGAATGTAGGGTCCGAGGAGAGCAGATATAGTGAACGCAGGGAGTGGGGAGAGCGGATAGAGTGAATGCAGGGTCCTGGGAGACTGGATATAGTAAATGCAGGGTCAGGGGAGAGTGGATATAGTGAATTCAGGGTCAGGGGAGAGTGGATATAGTGAATGCAGGGTCTGGGCAGAGTGGATATAGTGAATGCAGGGTCCAGGGGGAGAGCAGATATAGTAATGCAGGGTCTCCAGAGAGAGGGATATTGTGAATGCAGGGTCCAGGGAGAGCAGATATAGTGAATGCAGGGTCCGGGGTGAATGGATATAGTGAATGCAGGGTCCGGGGGAGACTGGATATAGTGAATGGAAGGTCTGGGGAAACTGGATATAGTGAATGCAGGGTCCGGGGAAACTGGATATAGTGAATGCAGGGTCCGGGGAAACTATATATAGTGAATGTAGGGTCAAGGGAGACAGGATATAGTGAATGCATGGTCCGGGGGAGAGCGGATATAATTAATGCAGTGTCTGGGGAGACCAGATATAGTGAATGCAGGGTCCGGGGAGACTAGTTATAGTGAATGCAGGTTCCTGGCAGACCAATTATAGTTAATGCAGGGTCCAGGGAGAGCGCATATAGTGAATGCAGGGTCTGGGGAAACTGGATATAGTGAATGCAGGGTCCGGGGAGACTACATATAGTGAATGTAGGGTCCTGGGAGACAGTATATAGTGAAGGAAGGGTCCAGATAGAGCGGATATAGTGAATGCAGGGTCTGGGGAGAGCGGATATAGTGAATGCAGGGTCCTGTGAGACCAGATATAATGAATGCAGTGCCTGGGCAGAGCGTATATTGAAAATGCAGGGTCGGGGGGAGACCAGATATAGTGAATGAAGGGTCCGGGGGGAGAATGGATATAGTGAAAGCAGGGTCAGGGGAGAATGGATAGAGTGAATGCAGGGTCAGGGGAGACTGGATATAGTGAATGCAGGGTCCTGTGAGACTAGATATAGTGAATGCAGGGTCTCGAGAGAGGGGATATTGTGAATGCAGTGTCCGGGGAGAGCAGATATAGTGAATGCAGGGTCCGGGGTGAATGGATATAGTGAATGCAGGGTCTGGGGAGACTGGATATAGTGAATGCAGGTTCTGGGGAGAGCGGATATAGTGAACGCAGGGTCCATGGAGAGCAGATATTTTGAATGCAGGGTCCGGGGAGAGTGGATATAGTGAATGAGGGTCCGAGAAGAGCAGATATAGTGAACGCAGGGTGTGGGGAGAGCGCATAGAGTGAATGCAGGGTCCTGGGAGACTGAATATAGTAAATGCAGGGTCAGGGGAGAGTGGATATAGAGAATTCAGGGTCAGGGGAGAGTGGATATAGTGAATGCAGGGTCTGGGCAGAGTGGATATAGTGAATGCAGGGTCCAGGGAGAGCAGATATAGTGAATGCAGAGTCTGGGTGAGACCAGATATAGTGAATGCAGGGTTTCGAGAGAGGGGATCTTGTGAATGCAGGGTCCAGGGAGAGCAGATATAGTGAATGCAGGGTCGGGGGGGTGAATGGATATAGTGAATGCAGGGTCCGGGGAGACTGGGATATGGTGAATGCAAGGGTCTGGGGAAACTGGATATAGTGAATGCAGGGTCCGGGGAAACTATATATAGTGAATGCAGGGTCAAGGGAGACAGAATATAGTGAATGCAGGGTCCGGGGGGAGAGCGGATATAATTAATACAGTGTCTGGGGAGACCAGATATAGTGAATGCAGGGTCCGGGGAGACCAGATATATTAAATGCAGGGTCCTGGAAGACCAGTAATAGTGAATGCAGGGTCCAGGGAGACCAATTATAGTTAATGCAGGGTCCAGGGAGAGCGGATATAGTGAATGTGGGGTCTGGGGAAACTGGATATAGTCAAAGCAGGGTCTGGGAAGACTACATATAGTGAATGTAGGGTCCTGGGGGAGACAGGATATAGTGAATGGAGAGTCCAGATAGAGCGGATATAGTGAATGCAGGGTCCAGGGAGAATGGATATAGTGAAAGCAGGGTCAGGGGAGAGTGGATATAGTGAATGCAGGGTCTGGGGAGACCGGATATAGTGAATGCAGGGTCTCGAGAGAGGGGATATTGTGAATGCAGTGTCCGGGGGGAGAGCAGATATAGTGAATGCATGGTCCGGGGTGAATGGATATAGTGAATGCAGGGTCCGGGGAGACTGGATATAGTGAATGCGGGGTCGGGGGAGAGCGGATATAGTGAATGCAGGGTCTGGGGAGATCAGCTATAGTGAATACTGGGTCTGGGAGAGTGGATATTGTGAATGCAGGGTCCGGGGAGAGCAGATATAGTGAATGCATGGTCCGGGGTGAATGGATATAGTGAATGCAGGGTCCGGGGAGACTGGATATAGTGAATGCAGGGTCCAAGGAGAGTGGATATAGTGAATGCAGGGTCTGGGGAGAGCAGATATAGTGAATGCTGGGTCCGGGGGGAGAGTGGATATTGTGAATGCAGGGTCCGGGGGAGAGCAGATACAGTGAATGCCAGGGTCTGGGGAAACTGGATATAGTGAATGCAGGGTCCGGGGGGAAACAGATATATAATGAATGTAGGGTCCAGGGAGACCAGATATAGTGAATGCAGGGTCTGGGGGAGAGCAGATATATAGTGAATGCAGGGTCCTGGGGGGGGAGACCAGATATAGTGAATGCGGGGTCCTGGAAGTCCAGTATAGTGAATGCAGGGTCCGGGGAGACCAATTATAGTAAATGCAGGGTCCGGGAGAGCGGATATAGTGAATGCAGGGTCGGGGGAAACAGATATAGTAGTTAATGCAGGGTCCGGGAGAGACTATATATAGTGAATTAGGGTCCTGGGGGAGACAGGATATAGTGAATGCAGGGTCCGGGGGAGAGCGGATATAGTGAATGCAGGGTCTGAATGGGGAGAGCAGATATAGTGAATGCAGGGTCTGGGGAGAGCGGATATAGTGAATGCAGGGTCCTGGGAGAACGGATATAGTGAATGCAGGGTCTGGGGAGAGCGGATATAGTGAATGCAGGGTCCTGGGAGAACGGATATAGTGAATGCAGGGTCTGGGGAGAGTGGATATAGTAAATGCAGGGTCCAGGGAGGAGTGTGCGGATGACGTCACAACGTTACCATTCATCGGGACAGCGGTTATAGTACTCTGTAAGCAGCTCTTGGAACGACATTACAGCAGGCAATAGCATTCATTAAGTGGCCCCGTGCTTTGCCTGGCATTACATTATGGATGGGGTCTGGTTTGAGCATGTACAGGACTCTGCTGCTGAGATGATACTGCCATCTAGTGTCTAATCAGTACATCACTGGATGTTCATCATACCTGGTGCAATATACACCTCCGGAACGTGAGTGCATTTCTTATGTTTAATTGATGAATAAAAGTGTAAAAGGATAAAGCACTATGTGGAGTTCTTTGTAATGAGGAATACGGCTGATACAAAGACGCTTATCAGGAGGGAGATTACTTTGGAGTCCTCATTCAACAAGCTGATCTTCTGAGTCCAAATGGGACCAAAAGTGCAGTTAGACGTAACATTGTATAATGTGCGGTCACACTGCGTGAGGTGAGCAGATATATGGTGGAGGATGTCTTTGCACGGGAATTGATGACAGATGCACATATTTTTCGTTATCCAAAGAAGGGTTCACAGAAGAACACTTTATTGATTGAACTTGAGTTTTTGAATGACTTTTGCTTGATTCGTACTTAAAAAATATTTTTTTTTTTTTTTTTTTTGTGTGGTTCTTGTTTTCATATATATATATATATATAGATTATATATATTAATTTTTTTTCAATAATTTTTTTTAATTTATTATTTATTTTTTCACTTTGCTTTTTGATGACATAGGAATTGTGCAATTTTTTCATATAGCGCATTTTTTAAATATATATGATAGTGAATGCAGGGTCCTGGGGGGACCAGATATAGTGAATGCAGGGTCGGGGGAACAGCGGATATAGTGAATGCAGGGTCCTGGGGAGAGTGGATATAGTGAATGCAGGGTCTGGGGAGACCAGATATAGTGAATGCAGGGTCTGGGGAGACCAGATATAGTGAATGCAGGGTCCTGGGGAGAGCAGATATAGTGAATGCAGGGTCCGGGGAGACCAGGATATAGTGAATGCAGTTTCCTGGCAGACAGATATAGTGAATGCAGGGTCCAGGGAGAGCAGATATAGTGAATGCAGGGTCCAGGGTCCAGGGAGACCAGATATAGTGAATGCAGGGTCCGGGGAGACCAGATATAGTGAATGCAGGGTCTGGGGAGAGCAGATATAGTGAATGCAGGGTCTGGGGGAGAGCGGATATAGTGAATGCAGGGTCCTGGGGGAGACCAGATATAGTGAATGCAGGGTCCGGGGGAGGGGATATAGGAGACCAGATATATAGTGAATGCAGGGTCCGGGGGGAGAGCAGATATAGTGAATGCAGGGTCTGGGGAGAGCGGATATAGTGAATGCAGGGTCGAGGAGACCAGGATATAGTGAATGCAGGGTCTGGGGAGACAGAATATAGTGAATGCAGGGTCCGGGAGAGAGCGGATATAGTGAATGCAGGGTCCGGGGGAGACTGGATATAGTGAATGCAGGGTCGGGGGGGAGACCAGATATAGTGAATGCAGGGTCCGGGGAGACCAGATATAGTGAATGTTAGCATTTCCAGATATAGTGAAGGAGTACTAGGGTCACGGGGAAAGTTCATATCCCAGTGACTGGGTCCAGGAAGAGCGAATATAGTGAATGCAGGGTCCGGGAGAGCAGATATAGTGAATGCAGGGTCTGGGGAGAGCAGATATAGTGAATGCAGGGTCCGGGGAGAGCGGATATAGTGAATGCAGGGTTCGGGGGAGACCAGATATAGTGAATGCAGGGTCTGGGGAGACCAGATATAGTGAATGCAGGGTCGGGGGAGACCAGATATAGTGAATGCAGGGTCGGGGGGGAGACCAGATATAGTGAATGCAGGGTCGGGGGGACAGCAGATATAGTGAATGCAGGGTCTGGGGGAGAGTAGGATATAGTGAATGCAGGGTCCGGGGAGAGCAGATATAGTGAATGCAGGGTCTGGGGGAGAGTGGATATAGTGAATGCAGGGTCTGGTGAGAGTGGATATAGTGAATGCAGGGTCCGGGGAGAGCAGATATAGTGAATGCAGGGTCTGGGGGGAGAGCGGATATAGTGAATGCAGGGTCCTGGGGAGAGCGGATATAGTGAATGCAGGGTCCTGGGGAAGACCAGATATAGTGAATGCAGGGTCCTGGGGAGAGACTGGATATAGTGAATGCAGGGTCCAGGGAGAGCAGATATAGTGAATGCAGGGTCCGGGATGAATGGATATAGTGAATGCAGGGTCCTGGGGACTGGATATAGTGAATGCAGGGTCCGGGGAGACCAGATATAAGTGAATGCAGGGTCTGGGGGAGACCAGATATAGTGAATGCAGGGTCTGGGGGGGAGAGCAGATATATAGTGAATGCAGGGTCCTGGGAGAGCAGATATATTGAATGCAGGGTCCTGGAAGACCAGTATATAGTGAATGCAGGGTCCGGGGAGACCAGGGTTATAGTGAATGCAGGTTCTGGGCAGACCAATTATAGTGAATGCAGGGTGGGAGAGCGGATATAGTGAATGCAGGGTCCGGGAAGACTATATGATATAGTGAATGCAGGGTCCGGGGAGAGCTGATATATAGTGAATGCAGGGTCCGGGGAGACAGGATATAGTGAATGCAGGGTCTGGGGAGAGTGGATATAGTGAATGCAGGGTCTGGGGAGAGCGAATATAGTGAATGCAGGGTCCTGGGGAGAACGGATATAGTGAATGCAGGGTCCGGGGAGAGTGTGTGGATGACGTCACAATATTACCATTCATTGGGACAGCGGTTATAGTACTCTGTAAGGGCTCTTGGAACGACATTACAGCAGGCAATAGCATTCATTAAGTGGCCCCGTGCTTTGCCTGGCATTACATTACGGATGGGGTCTGGTTTGAGCATGTACAGGACTCTGCTGCTGAGATGATACTGCCATCTAGTGTCTAATCAGTACATCACTGGATGTTCATCATACCTGGTGCAATATACACCTCCGGAACGTGAGTGCATTTCTTATGATTAATTGATGAATAAAAGTGTAAAAGGATAAAGCACTATGTGGAGTTCTTTGTAATGAGGAATACGGCTGATACAAAGACGCTTATCAGGAGGGAGATTACTTTGGAGTCCTCATTCAACAAGCTGATCTTCTGAGTCCAAATGGGACCAAAAGTGCAGTTAGACGGTAACATTGTATAATGTGCGGTCACACTGCGTGAGGTGAGCAGATATATGGTGGAGGATGTCTTTGCACGGGAATTGATGACAGATGCACATATTTTTCGTTATCCAAAGAAGGGTTCACAGAAGAACACTTTATTGATTGAACTTGAGTTTTTGAATGACTTTTGCTTGATTCGTACTTTAAAAATACTTTTTGATTTTTTTTTTTGTGTGGTCCTTGTTTTCATATATATATATATATATATAGATTTATATACTTAATTCTTTTTTCAATAATTTTTATTTTATTATTTATTTTTTCACTTTGCTTTTTGATATATAGGAATTGTTTTTTATAGCGCATTTTTTTAATATAGTGAATGCAGGGTCTGGGGGACCAGATATAGTGAATGCAGGGTCCTGGGGAGAGTGATATAGTGAATGCAGGGTGGGGGACCAGATATAGTGAATGCAGGTCCAGATATAGAGTGAATGCAGGGGTCAGGGGAGAGTGAGATATAGTGAATGCAGGGTCCAGGGAGAGCAGATATAGTGAATGCAGGGTCAGGGGGGAGACCAGACCAGACTTATAGTGAATGCAGGGTCCGGGGAGACCATATTATAGTGAATGCAGGTCCTGGAGACCAGATATAGTGAATGCAGGGTCTGGGGAGAGCAGATATATAGTGAATGCAGGGTCTGGGGAGACCGGATATAGTGAATGCAGGGTCCGGGGAGACCGGATATAGTGAATGCAGGGTCCGGGGAGACCAGATATAGTGAATGCAGGGTCCGGGGAGACCAGATATAGTGAATGCAGGGTCCCGGGGAGACAGATATAGTGAATGCAGGGTCCAGGGAGAGCAGATATAGTGAATGCAGGGTCTGGGGAGAGCGGATATAGTGAATGCAGGGTCCGGGGGAGACCGGATATAGTGAATGCAGGGTCCGGGGAGAGAGATATAGTGAATGCAGGGTCCGGGGAGAGCAGATATAGTGAATGCAGGGTCGGGGGAGACCAGATATAGTGAATGCAGGGTCCGGGGGAGACCAGTTATAGTGAATGCAGGGTCCAAGGAGACCAGTTATAGTGAATGCAGGGTCCTGGGGGGAGAGCAGATATAGTGAATGCAGGGTCCAGGGAGAGAGGATATAGTGAATGCATGCATAGTGAATGCAGGGTCCGGGGAGACCAGATATAGTGAATGCAGGGTCCGGGGAGAGCGGATATAGTGAATGCAGGGTCCGGGGGAGAGCGGATATAGTGAATGCAGGGTCCGGGGGAGACCAGATATAGTGAATGCAGGGTCCGGGGAGAGCAGCGGATATAGTGAATGCAGGGTCCAGGGGAGAGCGAGATGCATTAGTGAATGCAGGGTCTGGGGAGAGCAGATATAGTGAATGCAGGGTCCGGGGAGAGTGGAGATATAGTGAATGCAGGGTCCGGGGAGAGCGGATATAGTGAATGCAGGTCGGGGAGAGGGATTTAGAGCTATAGTGAATGCAGGGTCCGGGGAGAGCGGATATAGTGAATGCAGGGTCCAGGGAGAGCGGCTATATTGAATGCAGGGTCCAGGGTTTGGTAACACTTTCAAACCTGTGCGTTTTTTTTGCGCTTTGCAGAAACACACAGCAGTCCATTGAACACATGATTTCCTATGGGGCACTGGTTCACATCTCTGCATTTTCACCCGAAGCATTTTTTGAAAAGGTTCAGGGACTTTTTTTAAACTCAAAATGCTGCATTTTTGGTTCTATAGACATCAATGGAGACGCTGCAGAAAAAAGTAAAGTTTGGTGGAGGGGAATTATGGTGTGGGTTTGTTCCTCAGGGGTTGGGCTTGGCCCCCTAATTCCAGTGAAGGGAACCCTTAAGGTGACATTTTGGACAATTTCATGCTCCCAACTTTGTGGGAAGAGTTTGGGGATGGCCTCTTCCTGTTCCAACATGACTAAGCACCAGTGCACAAAGCCTGTGTCTATAGAACCAAAAATGCAGCATTTTGAGTTTAAAAAAAGTCCCTGAACCTTTTAAAAAAATGCTTCGGGGAAAATGCCAGTTTGGGGACATGGAGGAAGCCAGTTTGGGGTGGAGGAACTTGACTGAGTCCTGACCTCAACCCCATAGATCACCTTTGGGATGAATTAGAGTGGAGACTGCGAGCCAGGCCTCCTCCCCCGACATCAGTGCCTGACCTGACAAATGTGCTTCTGGAAGAATGGTCCCAGTGGCGTGGTTAGGGGATTCTGCAGCAGACCTGGTGGCCCCATAGTGGATGAGGCTTCTGGGGGGAGGTTGAGGTGCAATGTGGGTCACCTGGTCCTACAGCAGAGATTGGGGAACTATGGAGGGCTGGGGGCTCTACAGCAGGCTGGGGGGCACTGTGGAAACTGTGGGCTCTTGGGGGGGGGCACTGTGTGCCTCAATAGAAGGTTGTGGGTAGCAATGGGAGCTGGGAGACACGAGGATCTACAGCTGGCTGGAGGCCCGGGAGAGGGGAGGCCGTGGTTCGGCAGTGGGACACAGCCCAGTGGTTGGGAACTACGGAATTTTGTGACCAAATTGCTTTGTTTTTCCAAACGGTACATGGCTGATATATATATATATATATATATATATAGTCCTCGTCACCTGCAAATTAATGAACGTGTCCCACAGAGCTTTCATATAACACCTTTTCAGCCCCCGCTCCCCCTACAATCCCCTATCTCACATACATACACATACTGGGGCCAATTAAACCGCCCAGCATGGCGTGGGTGTGGGGAGAAACTCATGCAAGCACCAGGAGACCAGGCAAACTCCATGCTGGAAATGTGAACCAAGGACCCCAACGCTGCAGGGCAGAAGTGCTAACCACTATGCCACTGTGAATATGGCGCCCCTTACAATGATATATGTGTGCTTTCCTGTACGGTGTGCAAGGGACAATTCAGCAGTTTATATTTGTGCTCTGCCTTCTATGGAATGGCTTGCCACAGGTATGGCAGCCTCTTTGCAATGGTGGTGGTGGTGGGGGGGGGGGGGGGGGTTAGATTTTTGCAGGATTTATGCAGGACGCTGCAACAACACCCAGGAATCATGATGGATACACTACACAGCGTGTTCACAGATTACATAGTAATTACATAGTTAGTCTGGCTGAAAAAAGACAAAAGTCCATCCAGTTCAACCATTAAAAAAAAAAAAAAGTGATAATCCTACACCCACAGTTGATCCAGAGGAAAAAAAAACCAGCAAAGCATGATCCCATTTTTTCATTTTAAAATTTCTAAAACAAATATTTTATATTGATGGGGAATGAAAACATAAAACAGTTTTAATATGTATATAAAAAAAACAAATGTGAGATTACAATTGGCCCGAAACCATTCAAATTTCCTTTAATTTCCATTAAAAAGTGCAGCATCTCAAACCTCCACTAGGTGTCTCCCTACTACAGGTTATACCATACACTATATTGCCCCAAGTATTGGTCGGCCAGGGGCTCCATTCACAGCCGGGCATTTTGAATCGCTGGAAGAATCGCCGTGACTCCGCCTGCGATTTAAAAAAAACACTCTGCTGGAAGGACAAACCGCACCACTCAAATTTCAATGCCATTCATTTTAATGTCACTTAAAATCGCAGTGCGGTCCTGCTGCGATCGTCGCACGGTAAATCATGGGAAACCGCATCACACGAGGCCTGTCTCCCAATAGAAGCTCCTGCTCCTTTTTTGGACAACAGGCTTCACGTTGATGCGATTTGCCACAATTGCAGCATGATTTATCGCATGACAATCACGGCAGGACCGCAACCCCGATTTTGGGTGCCATTAAAATGAATGGCATCTGATATTTGAGTTGTGCGATTTGTCATTTGGGCCGAGCGTTTTGAAATCGCAGGAAGAATCGAGGCAATTCTGCCCGTTAATCAAAATGCCCGGGTGTGAATGGAGCCTTAGTGCCGGTCACACCACCACGATTTGGGAATGGAAATCACACCTGAAATCTCATCTAATGAATGTGAAGGTCGGTGTCTTACACCCGGTCACATCGGGTGCGATTTTCATATGACATGCGACTTGCAAATCGTATGCCAAGTTGCACCCTATTGTCCGCAATTGGAGCAGTCATATCCATGCGATTCCAACTTGGTCAGAGCCGTAATTTTTCTATAGTAGTACATGCACGACTTTTGCTGCGATTTGTATAGATATCTGTGTCAGATGTCTTGCAAAGTCGCACCAGAAATTGGCGGTTTACCCGACTTTGAAATTTCGATTTCAAAGCCAGGCTTGATGTGACCGGGGGCTTAACGTGTGCGATTTGCTGTGGCGCGATTTCCAAAGTAGTTTATCGCATGAGTTTTTCTGCAGTTTTGTTTCGATTTCACATACACAGAATAGAATGGAAATCGCACTGCAAATGGCAAGAAATCGTTGAACATCTTCACAAGTAGCAATAGTTCAGAAAAAATGAGGAAGGGTTGTAACAGCGCAAACACTGCAAAGTCCTGGGAAATGGTAGTATGAGGTGATCGTGGTATTAGTGGCTGCTGTATGAAGAGCGTAGGATTCCGTGTGGCACTGAGGGCAAGGCTTCCAAATAAGCTGTAGCAACCTCTGTAGATGAGAAAAGGAGAGAAGCGCCGTAAGTGCAATAAGTCTCTTTATTCAAGTCTAAATGTAGAAACACTCACATGTGTGAAGTCATCATAAGCATAAAAACCGTGGTTAACAATAGTGAACGGTGGGGGGTGGTGACCCGGGTGAAGAGCCGTCATCTTACTGCGATGTGGGGAGGTCAGCTCTCGGCTGGAACAGCGTGGTGGCTGGAGGGGAACAGCGGTGAGGCCGGCCGGCATGCACGTCCTCCCTCAGAGCCGGATGGAACACACGCTGGAGCGCAGCGGCGGCGTGGCCGTGATGACGTCAGATCCCAGGGTGCACTGCGACGCGTTTCGGAGCATGCACTGGCCGTGGAAGGCGGAAGTACACTCCTTTTTCAAGCAGGGGGAGGTGGATGAACAATGGTGAATATATAGGGAACGTGAGTCTAATTGATCAATTAACCAATGATTGACCATTGCTGTCAGCTGAATAGTGTAAAGTCATGGATGTTAAATGGGAGGGTAAAGGAAACCAAATGGAAAAAAAGAGAGGATGTAATAAATAAGAAAAAGGAGAAGAAAGAAAAATGAAATGAAATGAAAAAATGAAAAAAAGAAAGATAAAATGAATGAAAATGTTTACAAAATTCGAGAAAAAAAAAAAAAATATTCTGGGAGATTAGTGGGGTAAAAGGTTCACCTTGCAGCACTGGCACATCAATTATGTAACAGTAGTGAGCAGATATTTAGTGGTAATACAGCATGATTGCAAGGTGGGATATGGTTATGGCTCTACAGGAGCTTCATAATAATTATAACATATATACATGTTGCTAGCGGGTATATTGACAATGGGTGTTACCATGGTAGGATGATAAACATATTGGTAATAGTACATACAAATGACATTATAAAAAGTAAATTACATTGTAAAAAAATAGTAAAAAATAGAATAAAATATAAATAATGAACAAAAGGTTATAAATAATAAACTAAAAATTGAATTAAAAAAAAAAAAAAATTTGATAAAAAAAAAAATTTGAAGGAAATTATCATTGTGAGTGTTGGATGGCTATGAATGGGAGATTGTAGTGTTTATGGTATAGTGTTAATGTCTAATTCCTCGTTGAGTCCACCTGGGGACAATGTATCTAATGTAAATATCCAATAAGTTTCTTGTGAACAGAGTTTTTTGAAACGATCAGACTCAGAGAGATTGTTGTGTATGGATTCTAAGACCCATACTTGTAGGCCATCAGTGGATTTTTGGTGATATTCAAGGAAGTGGAGGGGGACGCTATGTTTGTCTTTACCATCTTCAATAAGACGTCTGTGCTCGCCAAACCTGGCACAGAGGGGTCTGATGGTGCGTCCCACATATAGGAGGCCACAAGGGCAGGATATATATTCTATTTTTTACAATGTAATTTACTCTTTATAATGTCATTTGTATGTACTATTACCAATATGTTTATCATCCTACCATGTTAACACCCATTGTCAATATACCCGCTAGCAACATGTATATATGTTATAATTATTATGAAGCTCCTGTAGAGCCATAACCATATCCCACCTTGCAATCATGCTGTATTACCACTAAATATCTGCTCACTACTGTTACATAATTGATGTGCCAGTGCTGCAAGGTGAACCTTTTACCCCACTAATCTCCCAGAATATTATTTTTTTTTTCTCTCTCAAATTTTGTAAATTTAATGATTTAATTTTAACCTTATAACATATATATACCACTATACATTTTTTAATTTTTTTATTTCTTAATTCTTTAATTTTATTTTTTTTTATAGCTCTGTTTCCTTTTTTTATTCTGTATTCTTATTACCCCCATCAACCTTTTTCACATAGCTTCTTCGATTTTCAACTGTTCAAAAATCTTTTATTAATGTCATTTTTCATTTCATTCATTGTTTTCATTTTTTCCTTTCTGTTTTTCATTTTTTCATCATTTTTTTACATTTTT